AAGAAAGAAAGAAAGAAAGAAAGAAAGAAAGAAAGAAAGAAAGAAAGAAAAGAAAGAAAGAAAAGAAAGAAAGGGCAGATGTAAAAATTGCAAAGTAAAGGTATAAAGCTTGCTCTTAAATGAAGATGATTTTTTTTCTTTGTTTTCTTGAGACAGGGTTTCTCCATGTAGTCTTGGCTGTCTGGGTACTTGCTTTGTGGACCAGGCTGGCCTGGGACTCACAGAGATTTGCCTGCCTCTGCCTCCCTGAGTACTGGGATTATGGGTGCCTGGCTAGGAAGATGACTTATTGTTAACTTGGATGTAGCTTAGTGTTTCTTTGACGAGGAACCAATAAAGTACGAGTACGAGCTGGAGATGGGGAAGTGTTTGCAGCATGGCAACTCTTACCCCCTTTAAAGAGAAAACAAAACATGGCTTTCATGCAAATGAAGGCACATCTGGAGAAATAATTAACTGACGTTGTCAAGAGCAAAAATATCAACTAACCTATATTTATAGTATGTTGCTGTTTGAATGAATCACAAATAAGTAATTAACTTCTAGTGAGTCATTACATTTTTAATAAGTTATAACTCCTTAAAAATGTTGGGGGACTTAGGTGGGCAGTTGTGAAGCACACCTTTAATCCTAGCACTTGGGAGACAGAAGCAAGTGGATATCTGTAAATATGAGGCCAGATTACTCTACAAAGTGAGTTCCAGGACAGCCAGGGCTACACAGAGAAACCCTGTCTTGAAAAACAAAAACAACCCTCCAAAAGAAGAAGAAATGTCCCGTATATAAAATTAGAGTGTGGGGGAGTGAGCCCCTGCAGGCTGTGAGAAACACCTGTGCCCCAATCATACAGTTGTCCTTCTTTCTTGGGTGTCCTTTCCATCAGTAAGTTTCCAAATATGGTAACGGGCTGCTTAGGTATAGTTAGAATTATGTATGCACTGATGGGAAATCAAGGCATAACTAACCTCTATTAGCAAATGTCTAATTGTGAACATTGTTATATGTCTCTATTATGGTTTGGTTGAAGAAACAGCTGTCAATGACAGTTCCACAGCTAAGATTTTACAGAACTTCTAAAATACATAGTTTGCCTTAACCTCAGGAACTAAAGATCCCTTATGATTTGCTGAGTCAAGGAACCAGGTAATTCTCTCCTGCTCTTTATATAAGTGGTGCGACAACATCAGCATTAACTAAGAAGTGTTAATGCTTGTGTTTTCTTCTTCCTGAAGCTCCCTGAGGGTGGTGAGCAAGACTTCCTTCATTCTCATCAGAGTTAGCTTCTGCACTCAAGTCACCATCATGCTTTCACTTTCCACAAGTATAAATGTTTCCAGAATAGATGAAGGAAATATCATTGTGCTGAGCTGAACATGAAAAGAATTGTGCCTCCAAAACTTCAGCTCTGAAAGTCACTTTCTCCTGTTCACCGGAAAGTTGAGATGGACTCAGCTGGTCTGCAAACTAGGGGAAGTTGATCTGCAAATAGCTCAGTAGCAGAAGCTAACATTTCCCTTTATTAAAGTTATTTTAATGTTTTGCACAAGCAATTGTTTGAAGATCAGGAAATGAGATTTTTCCATTTGGTTGGTCTCATTACAGTAAGATGGGGTCTTGGGTCAAGGAGATACATGTCTGGATGTTAAATAGTTACAGGAACACTGTGATTTCCTTTCAAGAAGCCTCATTTCATCTCTAGTGCTTCAGGCAGCTCTGGATGTACCAGGATGGATCCTCTAGTGAATTTTGCTTTTGTCCCTGGGGATGGAGTGCTATAAAGTTTGAGTGAAGGTGAGGTTGAAGAGGTGTTTGTCCCCATAGTTTTCAGGGAAGTCATAGCATAGGACAAAAGGATATAACTAAAATGACTGCAAATGCAATATACAAAAGAGCTCTTGTTCTTAGGTCTTTAAAGTAATTTTTTGTAAATTCATCTATGAACTCTTCCTATGAATCATTCTCTGCTAAGATATGTGGTCCATGAGATGCTGTATCTAGTATATCGCATTTGTTAATAGTGCATCAACAAATATGAAAACAAGAGACATCAAATAGGTATGGAGCCCTGGGAAAGTTAGTTTCTGCTCTTTTCACCAGAAAAGGGAGGCTATGGAAAGAATTGGATGGGTCAAAAAGTCTCTTCATGTTCTTTGTTTGTTTGGATGTTCTGTGATCCCTTACAAGGTCCTTACTAACTCTGAAGACACTGGAAAAGCTCTACCCCAAGAACAGGTGACTGAGCTGAATGATGACGGGGACACCATGGCTGTTTACAATAATAAACAGGGACAGAAGAGGCTAGACGTGAGAGCTCTAGAAATTCTGAAGGCTGCAGATGACATTATGAGAAAAGATTCTAAAGATTACTTTTGGTCTAGAAAGACCCTGTCCTTTAGCTGAAGACTGATGCCTTTTTAAGGAAGCCCTAAATAGGATCCATATACCCAGGTTTAACCTCTAAATCCTGTTGGGGCTATGGACAGGTTCTAAGAGGGATGGTCAGGAAGGAGAGAAGAGATTGCAAGTGATGGGGAGAAGAAAGGAGGGAGGGAGATGAAGAAAGGGAGAGAGGAGAACGAGAGAGTAAGAGTGATTGATTGGTTAGTTGGTTGCTTGGTTTAGATAGTACACTGATAACCCCTGAAAAGGAAATAGCAGAGTTCACTGAAGACTTCCCTGAAAATAAAGAGTTTGAGATATGATATCATCCTCGCAAAAGTGATGCTCTCTTCTTTCAGCAGGTTTTGTTTTGCCACTGAGAAAGGCAGGAGGGAAATATCTGCATTCCTGGGGCTGACAGTTTGTTTGACAGTTCTAGAACAATTGTGAGGTTTTAGGGGGTTTTGTGATGAGAAGAGTTAAAATCTAGATTTATAATCTGAAGACATTTGTGATAGGTGTCTAACAACTGTTTACACTTCTCATTTTTTAAAACAGTGAACACAGAAAACTCTACTCCAGTGATAAGAACGTATCCCTCTATGCTTGATTTTCTACTTTCCCCAAATTTTCTAAGCCACGTACTCAGCAAGCACCCACCTGAAACTCAGGGGTCAAGGAGTGTCATGAAGTGCAGCCAATGCTGTGGTACTAGACTCTCCATTCCAATAGTATTTATCAAAAATATGGAAATAATCCACATGTCCACCACAGGGTAATAGTTAAACAAGTCACAGAGTAGGCGTGGAATGAAGGCAATACTATCTCTGGGTGGTGACATCATTGGTAGTTAAAATGTCTGCCTTAGGTTCCTATATTAAACTCGATACGATGACTCTTTAAACCTTAAACATCACATGCTCTTTTAACTGAGAAATGTTAAAAATAATAATAATTTCTTTTACTTAGGCCATGTAAGTGAAATTCATAGGACAGAAAATATTGTGAACACAAGTTTACATGTACGTTCTGACTATATACGGAATTGAGAGCAGCGATAACATCAATTCTTTCTTTTAAGCACAGCAACTAACTTAAGTGGAATGTCGTGACCCTACGGAGTTGCTTTTCTCTACTTCCAGGTGCATATTCTCAGCTCCTTAGAACCGCTTCCTCCAAGAAGAAAGAATTGGCTGAAGATTTGAGAAGTGGGCACATGCGCAGGCCGGCCTCTGGGTTCACCCGAAAAGTGAAGCTGGAAGTAAAGAGAAAAAGGAGGCTGCCCTCGGAGCTCACTCGAGCCTTGGGACTAAGAAAAAGAATATTTTCCTATTAATCATTTATGTATTTTAGGTGGTGTAAATATCCAGCTGTGAATATCCTGTCAGATTCTCTAAGAATATTATTTTCAGCGTCTTGGTTGCTAGTCGATCTCTTCCCACGGTGATTATGGACTGACCACTGCACTGTCTACAGGGGCTAAAGGCCTTCCAAAGCTGACTTGGGGATGAGGGCTTTATCTCTTTACAGTAATTTAATAATTTTCCTGAAGAGGCCTGGCAATGCCGATGAGCTAGAGGGCCACACATTTAGCTTGCATAATCACACGAATCACAAGCCATTAACTGCTGCATCGCTTATGAAACTGGAGTGGAAGGACTATACGCATGAATAGTATTACTGATGGTCCGTGGTTCCCAGCCTTGTCTGAGAGAAGAGTTTTGAATACCGAATGAAGAAAAATAAAACACAGGGGAATAAAACATCCATCTAATGAAAACAAAATTAATAAAAGCTTTGGCTCCCAACTGATGTTATTGGATTCTCTTTATTTAAATCTTTAATATTAGCATGAACCGTGTCCAAACTCTAATAAGATATCATAATTATCTTTCAATTATGTATATGCTGTTTGATTAAATATCAAAGCTCTATGAGTGGTGATATTTTTACACTGAAAAGCAAAATAAAATGAAAGTGAGCATGATACCAGGAGAACCTGTCAATATTTTTTTTTCCCCTGAAAAAATGACCAGCCTGCATGAGGACTATTAACAGATGCACATGAGATCCAGACACAACACCATTTTTGCCTCAGATTAGTCCCGTGTTTGTAATCTTTCTCTTAAAAGAGGTGCTTGACAAAGAGTTTGAATTTCAGATATATTACCAATTAGCATCAGGGCAAGTGTCGTTGAATTTAGGGCCATCTTCAAACTAGAAAATTATCTAAAGGGTGTGAAGTTTTATTGGAGGATTATCTGAGTCCATCGGAACCCTGAAAAGAGCTGGTGGCGGGAGGTGGGGGAGAGGACAGCCTTGGGTTCTGGTTGACTGGGAGAATGAGAATGTTACAAGCTAGCACTCCAGCTACAGGCTCATGCTTTGCATTCATCCTGCTTTCTAGTCTAAGGTGTTTCACCGAATTCTTTAAAACTCTTTGAAAAGATCATTACTGCTCACAAACCACCAAAGGGACTTGCCTCTTGGAGGATGGCCCTTTCCTTCTGTCCCTCTCCAATCACTGTACTCCATATCGGAGCTAGCAGGGTTTTCTTTTCCATAAAGGTCAGAATGTGAGTGTTACTGATACTGTGGGCTGCCCTGTGCCTGTTGCCATCATGATGTCTGTGTAGGCAGAACAGGAGGAAACAGAGCAATGGGTATTCAAAACAGCAGGGTTGCAGTCCAATGAAATGTGGATAGACACAGGCATCACAAAATTATTTTCTTTTGTCTTTTTTAGTCTTAGTCTTTTTTTTTTAAGTGCCCACTCTTATTTCATAGCCTGTAGGGGACTTTCCATTCAGCGACATGGCTGCTCTGGTAACAGATCACATCCGAAGACTTTCTAAGGTCTATATGATCTGGCTGAAACGCAGACACGCTCTGGATTACAATATGATCTGACTGGAATGTGCACTGTTAATGTGCACGCTTAATCCCAAACAATGAAAGTAAGGTTACTTTATAGAAGGAAGCAGCCATGTTTAAAAAGGGATGTCTGAGGGGCGAACAAAGTGACAAATCAGATAAAGATTTGACAGAATGAACCAGAGATAGGATTCCCAAGTCTCAGGAGAACAAGAAAGGAAAGATAAGCTACGTAAAGAGCAGACAGAGAGAGAAAGAGAGGGGCGGGGAGAGAGAGAGAGAATTTTTTAGCAAGATTTTTTCCCCCACCGGGACAGTTTTACAGAGACAGGTTGCAAAGAGAAAAGGCTAGACACAGGTGAAGAAAGAATGAGTCAGAGAACGAGAAGGAGCCAGAAGATTAAAACATATTGCCAGAATTGCTTCGAGGCCAGGTAGAACAATTCAGTCAGAAGAAGGGTTTTTGCCAGAACAGCTGAGTTGAACCAGCCATCAACAGTTCAGGAAGAGATAGAAAGGGTTGGGAACAGCTCTCATCTCATCCCCACATCTAAGGAAATAAAACACATTTACAATAGACTGTACAAAACAGACAGTGGGCAGCTAGGAACTGCTGACCTACGCTCCAGTGATTTGCTTATTAAACTTGTAAGGAAGGCTCTGGGATGATACAAGAAGGAAAGTGAGTACATTAAGTGACAAAAACCTAAATAAAAATTGATTGAAAAAAAAAGTTAAACATTGGGATTAGATTGAAGAGAAACAACATAGTAGTTCCAAACATGCCTGGACCTTATTTTACTTTGCAGGCAGTCTAGGAATGACTGACTTTTCTATAACACAGGCTAAAGAGCAAAGCATTAGAGTCACAGCAATATTTATAGGTAGAAATGAGAGATTAGTGGCTAAAGTGTAGACTCAGGCACGTGGTTCAAACGTAGTGTGAAGGGCTGGCTGAATGACTTTGGAAATCATTTGACCTCTATGTGCCTTAATTTTTTTTTCTTATAAAAGAAGCTGAAGACTCCTTAGGTCTGTTATGAGAATTAAATATGTGAATGCATATAAGATGCTAATAAACTAATTGCTCTAATGGTAAAAAGATATTAGATATTATTCTGGTTATTAACATAAACATCGGTGATAACAGTTCAACCCAAGGGGAAAGGACCCATGTAAGTACTTTGGTAAAACTCATCAGACATGGAGGTTTTTAGAAAGAAAACCTTTTTTTTTTTTTAAGTTTGAGGTACTTGTTGATTTAGAGATTATAAGGAATAGTACAGAGACATTGATGCACATTTTGTTCAAGTTCCCTCAACAGGAACATCTTTTCTAACTATACTACTACTACAATATCCCAACTAGAAAAAAATGACAATGATGCAACCAGATTTTAAACAGATTTCACTGTTTTATATGCATGCAAGGTGTGTGTGTGTGTGTGTGTGTGTGTGTTGTGTTCTCTGCTAAAACCTATTGTTTAATAGGAACATCAGGTAGAAAACTGGGTTATTAATTCAGTATGACAAATGACACTGGAAGGCTGATTACATTCATATGGATCACACAATTGAGTTCTGCCACCCACATATATAAAGAATAGCCCTTTGATGGAAACTCAGCCACCTGGATTTCATGTGCCGCTGTGTGGTCTCTTTAATCCTCTGCCTTTCTTCACCCCCAACGTTTCACTCTACTTTGAAGACCTAAGATTACATAAGTAGGGGGGTTAAAGAAAATAACCAAAACATAAGTTCCTACCCTCCCCATCAACCATTAAGAGATAGGCTGAAGGCTTGATTCTTTTAAATTCAGATTTTGAATAAAGTTTTCTTGTCATCACATCAAGGGACCTTTGAGTCTGGATTCCTTTTCACTCCAAGCTGGGCAAGGTGATTTGGTCCACAAGGGCAGAGAAGGCCCAGCACACCTGCTCGGCTCTGCCATACAGCTCCATGTCCACCAGAGGCTGTGCACCTGAAATCGGCAAGGAGAAGAGCCTTTTAGGAAAATGAGCCTCTTTGGCTACCTACAGTGTGGCTACAGTGCTCACCCACAGAGAAGAATCAGATCCCATCTTCTCTTTGTTCTTGAGGAGGCTGCCCTTCCCCTCAACAGAGAAGATAACCAGTACTCAGCTGGCTATGGTGTGTCCTACAATTCCATCCCAGTTGCTAGACTGAATCTGTGGAACCAGAGAGCCTACCGCAGAGTGCCATCATAGAATCGCTATGATATCATAACCTGAAGAGTGTTGAAACACATTGCTAACCCCTCCCCACCACAATAGTTGCATTTGGGCTCTCTGGGGCCAGCTGACGAACTCACAGAGATCTGCCTGCCTCTGCCTCCCACGTGCTGGGATTACAGGGCGTGACACCCTGTCTATCTAAAATTCTCATTTTTCATTCATTGATCACCTAATCTCATCTGCCATCTTACTGGCAGTTTAAAAGTATCTTAAGTTGTTTTAGGTCATCATACAAAGTAATGGGTTTCATCATGAAATCTTTATATATGTGGCATAAAACTTTATGTATTTCCTATTCATTGCCCTTCTCTGCTAGCCTTCCTCTACCACCTCCCATCCTCCACCCTTCCTCCCTAACCCCCATCCCCCCACTCTCCATCCCGCCTCCCATCTCTTCTCCCTACCACGTTCCCCGTCTGGTGCCTTTCTTCCCTGAGATAGTTCCCTTCTTGCATCCTTATCACACGTGTTTCATTGTCTGGTGGCTATTTTGAATTCTCTGTCAGGTGACTCATATTTCTCTTTCTGAGGGCCCATTTGTGAAGCTCTGTGTCGTTGCTTTTGACTGGACCAGGCTTCTCATCTTCTTCCATTGTTGTACCTCTTTGTACTAATACCCACACAGCCAGAAAAAAAAAAAAAAAAAAAAGAAAAATCACAACTTCTCCTAGTCTTCATTCAATCCCATCCTTCATGTATTCTCATGGAAAAGCCCCAGCAATGGGTCTCAGAAGATGTGTAAGAAACTTCTCAAATTTTCCTACTAGTCGTGGCTTCTCTGTTATTAGAAGCCCTTGGGTATGTAAAATGCAAAGGTAGGTCAATCCTATAAGCCAGTTTTTTTTTTTTTAAAAGTCTCTTCCACAGTCACCATCGCCACTAACAAACAACACTGAAAGCGGTGCTCACACTTTCTATAAAAGCATCTAACTAGTCCCACTGAGGCTGTAATTGGAAACACATGGAATGTGGGGACTTTAAATTTTCTAAAAGATTAGATAATTTTAATTGTATAGTATATATTATTATGTCATTTGAATTTAGGAATACACTCTCAACTGCTTTATTATTTCCCTTTTAATGATATAATGGTGCATGCATAAACACATACGAATAAACCTATGCAGAAAGATCTTGATAATATCCCTTAGACATGCACCAATCTTTTGTTTTTTATTAAATCAGATCTTAGAAGAGTTAGTGTCAGATACAAACTGTTTTCTTCCAGAATGAGAATGTGGGATTTTTGCTCTTCAGCTTCATATTTTGTACTGCATGTAAGGAAAGAGCCTTGGCAAGTATGTTCATGTTGGCCCACTGGGTCTTTGCCTTCCAGCCACGCCTTCCTGCTCCAGTTCCCTGCATATAGCTGAAACAAACAGTGGCAAGTGAAGGGCAAAGCAGATGAGTGAGAATAAAAAAAAAAAATTCACAAGCTATGCATGGGAAACTTCACTCTGAAATGGAAAGCAATAATGAAATGAGATAATAAAACCAGAAATTATGCATTTTCTTTTACCATAGGTAAAGAATAATAAGCAGGTCTTCAAATCTAATTTTTTTTCTTGGAAAGTTTTAACCTAATTCATTTGCTATTGACTTTCAACATTAAGAATATAAAGATGTTTGGGGACCTCCTCCTACACAACAACTCTGTGTGTGTGTGTGTGTGTGTGTGTGTGTCTTTCTCTTTTATTTCTCTCTCTCTCTTTCTCAATTAAACTCTCATGGTCTCTGGAAATCTCATTATCTAAGATCTTGATATTGAATGAGTCTATTCAGCTAATGTAAATAGCAGCCTCAAAATGATTACCAAGGTTTCTGTTTCAATCCCCTTAAGCTTTTCAGTAATATAAAGTTCATCTTCATTTATAAAATGTGGTGGTTTCTTAGCAAAACTGTAATCTACAAAGGTGATCAATTACTAGGCTAATTACCATACTAGATGAATATAGTGACCCTCTGTCTGATGAATTTCAGGCTGTTACATACGAACAGTAGCTATTTCTAACTTTTAAAAACAGCTCTTTTTTTTTTTTTTTTAAGTGGGACAGTAAAGTGATGAGAAACTTTTTGCTGCTATCTGGTGCTTCTATTATAAGATGGACGTGAACACAAGTGGACAATAACTTAATTTAGCTGCATTTTTCATGTTCGTGGGTGTGGTTATCATATCTCTGGCTCTGATTAAATTTAGTGTAAGTTTGGTAAGTCTGTGCAGATAATGTATAGGTTATGAAGGATATTTTTATATAATAGTGAAGTGGAGTTTGAAAAAAAAGATTATGTCCAAAGCAGATTGAAATTAGCATAAAGAAAGATAGAGAGTTGGGAGTTTGGCACAGTGTTAGTATGCTGAGGGCCCTGAGCTGATCTCCTACACTGTGTCAATCGGGAATGATGACGCACATCTGTGATCTTAACACTGGGGAAGAAGAGGGCAGAAAAGCAGAAGTTCGAGGCTATCTCTGGACACGTAGCAAGTTTTAGGTCAATCCGGGCCGCACAGGATCCTCTCTGAAAACAAGCAAACAAACCTTTAGAAATACTTGAGTAGGGAGATACACTCTACTCAAGTACCATCTGTGAGGCTAACACACGCCTCACACCTCCTTCTTGAGCGGCAAACAAGGGTGACTAATGTAAAGAAAAGATAATAAACTTAAATATTACAAAATTAGCATTTTAGGGGTGGAGTCTGAGGAGATTGGACGGTGAGTAAGGATACCTGCAGCACAAGCAGGAAGACCAGAACATGGCTGCACACGAGCGTAATCCTAGCACCGTGGGAGACGGAGATGCTACCACTGGTTGGAGGCCAGCCTACTTCCGGCTTCAGTGAGAACCCCGTCTTGAGGGAATAAGGCAAATAGTGATAGAGCAGGACAACCGGTGCTCATCTCTGGCACCTGAGATGGTCCGCAGGCACACCTGCCACCAGATACACCAAACGGGAGTATTTCCTACGCCTAAGAAACTTAGTGTTTTTCCAATCGTAAAAATATTTGTGTAAGAAACGCAAAAATATTTCCTGTAAGAACTTTTCAGTGGTTCGACTGTGAGTGGAAACACAGGAGATTCTGAGCATTAAAAGTACTTTCTGAGGCAAAGAGGATGGACATCAGAAGAAAAAGAAAATAGGAAACAACCTCCGAACCTGCTACAGAGGGCCTCTGAAAGCCAGAAGAAAACAGGAAACAACCTTGGAACCTGCCACAGAGGGCCTCTGAAAGCCTCTGCAGTATAGACTGTCAAAGCAGATGCTGAGCCTGATGGCCAACTGATGGGCAGAGTGAATGGAATTTTATGTAAGAAGTGGGAAATAGTAAGAGCTGGAGGGGACAGGAACTCCATAAGGAGAGCAACAGAACAAGAAAATTTGAACACAGGGAACTTCCCAGAAAATCATACTCCAACCAAGGACTATTCATGGAGATAACCTAGAACCCCTGCACAGATGTAGCCCATGGCAGTTCAGTGTCCAAGTGGGTTACATAGTAATGGAAAGAGGGACTGCCTCTGACATAATCTGATTGGCCTGCTCTTTGATCACCTCCCCCTGAGGGGGGAGCAGCCTTACCAGGCCACGGTAGAGGACAATGCAGCCACTTTTGATGAGAACTGATAGACTAAGATCAGAAAGGAGAGGAGAACCTCCCCTACCAGTGGACTTGGGGAGTGGCATGCATGCAGAAAGGGGAGGGAGGGTGGGATCGGGAGGGGAGGAGGGAGGGGCTTATGGGGGGATACAAAATGAATAAAGTGTAATTAATAAAATAAAATAAAGTACTTTCTGAAAGATGAGATAATTCGAATTACACATTGCACGTTACCAGAGCATCAGAACTTAGAAATGCATTAACTCTACCATAATTTTCTTTTAATGATGATAAATACATATAAATATACTTATATATACAGACCTTGATAAAGTCACTTACATAACCATCAATCTTTTACCTTTAGTCTGAAACTGGACAAAAGTTAATATATTAAGATATGGGCCTAGACTATAGGAATCTAAAGTACACACTGTAGCAACTGCATTTGTAAAGGCTGAACCAATAAAAAGTTTTAGAATTCTGCAACTTTCACCAGCTCCCTTGGGAAACAGAAACAAAATAAAAAAAGCAAGGTAAAAATGTCAAAAACTAAGATCTTTTCAATAAAGCCCGACTGGCCAGTGACATTTTCCTGAAAAGGTGAAGTGGACATTGACTTTGTTTTGAATGCTCATCATGATCCCAAGGATGCTTAGGCAGAACTATAGTGCGTGGGATTTTGTGTTGGTTGAGGGCACGGAGAGTTTCCATCAGTCTTTGTCCTATGCTCCTGCCATCGCTGAGAATTCATTTCCTTTCATGCTATGATGATGACTTCAAGTCTACTTACCATAATACTTTCTATTCCATTGACTAGACTCTGCCAAGTTCTGTATAAAGTTGACATTATTATGTCCCTAGGTTAGGGCTCACCGACTGTCATGGGCTGAACTGTGCCCCCCCCAAACCTCCAAGTTTATATTTTAAGGTTTTAATACCAGAACCTCAGAATATGACTATATTTAGAGACAGTGTGTTTAAAGAGATAATCAGAGTACTAAATGGGCTCAGTCTCTCTCTCTCTCTCTCTCTCTCTCTCTCTCTCTCTCTCTGTGTGTGTGTGTGTAGAAGATAATTAAGCTAAAATGAGGCTATTGGGATGGCCTTATTCAAATATGCCTGGTGGATGGAAACATAAACAGACTGAAAGGCCATGCAGAGACTGGGAGAAGATGACACTCAATGAATGAAGGAAGGAGGCTTCAGAAGAGGCCAGTGCTGCTGACACCTTGAGCTTGGATCTGTAGCTTCCAGGACAAAGAGAAACCCCCCCCCCCCCACTTCTGTTTTCTTCCTGAACTGTCCCCTCCACACTGCTCCCCTCCCCTCCCTCTTTCTTTATTTTTATTTTTCCTCTATTTTTTTTTCTAGTGAGAACCTGTTAAGCACAATATCTACATATATGTGTGTGTGTGTGTGTGTGTGTGTGTGTGTGTGTGTTCTAAATAGAAAGAAGATGGTGTGACTACAAAGCAGAATTTTAGTAGAGGACCAAAAGCCTCCATAACTTAGAGTTATGGGATGAGTTAAAGCTGACGATGATGATGGTGATGGTGCAACCCAGGACAGAGAAACCTCACTCAGTTGCATAACTGTCCTCATTTTAAAATGGTGGAATTGGGCTGTTCAGTTATGCATGAATTGAAGTTACTAACGATGATTGCACTTTCAAAATAATAACTATTTACTTAGTGCCATGTGTCCCACGTGGCTATTATAGGGTCTATTGTAAGGTCTCATGTGACTGACAGTCTTTAGTGCTCATGTGATCTTATGACTCAGCCGATGCCAGGAACTGAGTCCAAAGACTGGGCAATGTTGTGAAGTCCAGTGTTCTAATAGGCAGCCTGAGTTCCTGGCCATCACTCTCTTTTGGCTCCCTTTGCAAGGGAGTACCTGACCAGTACTCCTCAAGGCCGAGCTAGGTAGCCCTCTGTGAATTCAAGGACAGTTTGGTCTACACAGGCAGTCCCAGGCCAACCAGGGCTACATCCGGAGATCCTCAAACAACAAACACAACAAAGCAAACAACAACACCCCAATCGTCCCTTACCTGACGGTGTGTCTATGTCGAAGGCATCCAGGAGTCTGGGCAGCAGCACTTGAAGGTCTTCTTCTTCGAGGTCAATCCTCTTTTCGCTGGCGCCATGCGTCCTTTTCTCCTCCTCGGAAGGTGTTCGCGCACAGCTGCTCTCTTCCGCAGCGGGCACTAGTGAGTTGTCCTGCAGTCCCTGCTGGAGAGCGGATGGGGAGGTACTGGCTTCTCTCGGAATCTTTTGTGGGTGGCTTGGTGTCCCGGGGCTCTGTGAAATGATCTCTGGTGGTTCAGAGTCTGCCAGAGCTTTCTCTGAACTTGACGGACGTTTGTGACTTCTGTCAGCCTTGGCAGAGTTAGGGAGAGGTTCCCATTCCAGATCATCGTCTGTGGTACTCTCGCTGTGGGAAGAGGCTCCTCTTCTCTGTGAGCCATCCTCAGGTAATGAACGGTCAGTCTTGGGTACTGTGTTTTGAGCTGAAGATGAAGGATGGAGTGGCCGCAACATTGCCTGGGAGATAATATATATATAATATTATATATAAAAGAACTTTCTTTAGGAAGAAATAACTGTTACTTTCCCCACAAATAAATACATTTCAATATCCAAACAACATTGGTGGCTTTTTTTTTCTTTCCACTCTTGATATTTCAATAATTTTATTTTCTGCTGTTACTTCAATAGATATTTAAAACTGTGTTAAAGGTTGGGTCTTGCTCAGGTTGTAAAACGTCTCAGGAGTACCCCCTCCTTCCGCAATTTGGAAAGAAAGCTCTGAGTATATCTGGCTCTAAAGGTGTCATAAGGAACTTCCGAAAGCATGCACTCATGGTGATTGACAGGCAGAGGTTATTAAATAATAAATAAATAAATATTAAATAAAACAGACTTCTAATGAAAGCCCCAGAGCTGTGTTCTGAGGGACTTCATGAAAAGCTGGAGTTAGAAAAATCTAGGGGTGTGTTGCACTGTTTTCAAGGTTGGGCCCACCCAGCTCCCTCAGGAGGCTGGCAGTTCTTATAGGAGTGTGTGGGGTCCAATTATTTCCACAATGATTCTTTAAGCTGTACGTCTGGTGCGCTGGCACGTGCGTGACCGGCCCACATCAGCACTAAGTGTAGACATCACTGCCTCAGTAGGAACAGAGACGGCATCGGCACACAAATTCTCACAGACGACTGTCACACTGCGCGTTAAAGAGTAGACAGCTTCAATTAATATCTTGTGGTATGGCAAAAGGTGCAAGCTTTCTCGGTAATCTGTTTTTTCAGTCTTGCATACAGTGAAATGGAAAGCACCCAGATAGTATTTCCGAGGCACCCTGAAACACAAGCATTGCCACTTGTGCCAAGGAAACGCCGGCAGATTATATAGCTAGTTAGCCTGGGATTTTAGGCAAAGGCTTTCTGGGTGTGTGTTGGTGGGGTGGGGGTGGGGGTGAACATGACACTGCAAAGAAAGTTATTAACTTTTTTGTTGTCATCTCTAACAGTCAAGGTTTCAAGTTATAATTAAAATTTTAGGAAGCTTGTATCTGCCAGGGTGAGCTGGATAGCTTTTCGATTCTTAAATGTTTTTTTTTTTTTTTTTTCTTTCGGACAACAACTGGTGAAACTGAATGCGAGGATTTATCTCCTTATCTTTTTTTTTTCTTTAAAAAAAATCTTGTAAAATGAAACTGGCAAGCTCTTGAAGGCTCAGCATAGCTCAGTGAGTCAATATTCACCACGTGGACAATATATATTACAAAATGAAACATGGATAGTTCCACTCAGAGAGCAAGAGAACACTGGGATTTTAATAAAGTCGAGTACGAAACAGACATGGTTTTTGATTTCACAATGTACCCATCTTCTAAAAAACAATTGCTTTTTATGTTTGATGCTGTATCAGTAGATAATACCTTAGTTATGTGAAATGCTACAGAAATATATTTTTTTTAACTGCACTTCTATGTGAGACCGGATTTCTTCACATACCTTAAGTAAGCCTCTTAAAATAGATTGCTGACCGTGAGGAAAGTTCAGCTTTCATTAAGTCCGACATTACAGAGGTTTAACAAAGCATGCAAATAATCGGCATTCTTTCAGGCTCCAAAAACATCCAGTTACTGCTTGAAAATACACCTATAATGGTTATCAATCTCCTATCTTAGTTATGGGTATATTTTTGAAACACTTCTCAGTGTTTTGTTGCTGTTGTTGATGAAAAATAAGAATAGCAACAGATGAAACCCATGGAAAGAAAGGCTCCTGGGGAAGCCCTCAAAAACTTTTAACTGTGTGCAAAGGGATCCTGAGGCCACAAGCTCTGTGGGAACCCTTTGCCCTGTTGTTTACTTGACTCTTGTCTGGAAGAGTGTACAGTAACAGAGGTGGGAGAAGGTTGGGGAGAGGGAGGAGAGTGGAGGAAAAGAAGCTGGGAAACTTTGAGAAGCAGCCCGCCCTTGGTTAGGGCAGGGGGAGGCTTGAGGTTAGACCCCCAGGCAGCCCAGGTGGCCAGTGGCGCTCACATTCTCTTACCTGTAGGTCCTGTCTCATCTGCTGTAGCTTGGTCCACAGGTTACCCTGGTTGGCTGTGAGCTCCCGAATCTTTGTCTCAAGTCTGCAGTTCTGTTCTTCTTGTAGGGTGCATGTGCCTTGCAATTTGTGTTTGTATCTATTTAGCTGTTTCCTAAGGCGCCTGAAAAGAAAGCAGGTTTGAGTAAGAGCAGAGCATCACGCCTACAGCCTAGCAAGTGCTTTGAAGGTCCTCCTTGTGTGGGGGTGGGGGGGGTGGGGGTGGGGGGGGTGGGAGGGGTCTGTGCCTTGACCACCATCTGATCCGTCAACACCACTTGATGCTGTTTCAAAGGCAGAAGATGCCCTTTGTGTTCATTACGTATGCCTTTCAACTAACGGTTTCACTGGCTTTAACTATTTCTGGAGAGCCCACCAGGCCTGTCAGGATTACTGTTGATAGCATGGTTTGCCAGGGAGTCACATTTACATGTTGACCTTATTCACCAGTGTGCCTAGACATACTTCACCTGGGAAGGCAATGCACTTAGCATGAAGGCCACAGAGGAGGCACAGAGTTCATGCATCGAGGGTCTGTTCGTTTATCCTCATCCCTCAGAGCCTCTGCTCTTTCTGCAGGGACTCTTTTCCCCCTGAGGTTATTGCTTGAGTGGCCTCCTTGCTTCCTGCAATCTGTGCTAACACGTTATACTTTCAACACGGCTTTCCTCGACGTCCCTATTACTTCCCCACAAAGCAGAACTCCAGCCCTATCTCTGGCTCTGTCTCGACGCTTCCCTTCTTTATTTTTTTCCCTTCTTTGGTTTTTCTTTATGTCAGTTGCTATCAAACTTGGCGAGGTGAGATCTCAGGTTTTTACTTAGTCTCCCGTCTTAATTTCTGAGCTCACATATTCATCTGTTTCCTGCTTTACTTGCATAGTACTGAATTTCTTCCTCACACATTATTTCACAATTCCTGAAACTCCCTTGCTTACCACCACGTTCCCTCGGCCTGTCAAGCGGTAGGTATATAATTAACATGGTCTTGTTCTTTGATCAGTACCATTGGCATATTAACAAAATCTATGGGGGTAAACTCTTCCCGATGGTGGACAGCAACTTTCTTTCGTATCAGGCCCTTTGCAATTTCTGATTCAATAATGCCAGAAACGGTCTTGAAGTCAAGTTCGAGTTCCCACACAAAGCAGGTGTCCCCAAGCAGTCACCTTTAAACTTCTAGTCACCAGGAAACCTGGTTCTAAAATCCTAACGAGATTGAACTAATTATAGTTGGAGTGCCAAGTGTTTTATATGGTAGGCTTTTTGTTGTTGTTGTTTGTTTGTTTGTTTTTTAACAGAGTCAGTCCCGGGGTCACAGAACTCATAAGGCAGCACCTTCTGAGGTGTCTAGTCAGGCTGTCAGTACCAGTGTGGGGTTTGTTTTGATCACTAACTGTAACAATCTCTCTCTTTCTACCACGTGGCCCAAACCGCACATCCCTTCCTCTTCTCTGGCCTTTCCACCATGCCTAGGCATCTGAAGCATCTCTATTCTTCAATAGCCTGGGGTGGATAAGGGAAGGGGAGGGGAGCAAGCCAAGCCCTGTCAGAGACAGTTTTCTTTCTCTGTCTTTGTGGTTGTTGCTGTTTGTTTAGTTTTGTTTTCACAGGAGTTCACTGTGTAGTAGTCTAGAATTCCCTAACTAGTCTAGGCTGGCCTTGAACTCTAGAGATCCACTTGCTCTGCCTCTGCCTCTCTGCCTCTGCCTCTCTGCCTCTCTGCCCCTCTCTCCTCTGCCTTTCTCTCCTCTGCCTCTCTCTCTCTCTGCCTTTCTCTCCTCTGCCTCTCTGCCTCTGCCCTCTGCAAGCACTGGGATTAAAGGCATGCACCATTACACTGGGCTCTCTGTTGTTTTTTTGTTTTGTTTTTGTTTGTTTTGTTTTTTCAAGGGAGAATTCTCCGAAAGTGTTCCCACAAGTATTTCCAGTACCTGCTTTATTTCAAGCAAATGTCTGTTAATAAGTTCAGATCATCTGAGAAATGTTTCCTTCTAAATGACTTAGAATCCTTTAAACTTCTAAGGTTCTAAACTTTGAAAATTTTATATCTTCTTTCTGTAAGCAAGTCTGCGGAATCCTGTGTGTATGAGGCCATTGGAGAGAGCCCAAATGCTCCCAGAAAGATCACATGTCAGGCGGTGAAACACAACTAGTGAGTGCCTAGATAAGGAGTTATTACCGACAACTGGACCATGTTCTTTCAGTGTGGATAGGAAACGAGGCCTTGTCAAACTGCCAGGGACTTCGGGCTACCTGCTACTGAGCTTGCATTTAACTGTCCATTTCAGGCCACACTCACTGTTTCCTGGGAATCTGGGCCTCCAGCTTCTCTTTAATCTCTCAAAGTTATGTCTTCATTGACTGTTCTGCTATTCTAGGAATTAAATGTAAATAATCCCAAATTGCTTCTTCAACCTATTGCTGGTGTCTTTTATGCCATGCCACACACACACACATCTGAGAGATATGCTGTCTACATTTCCATACGATCCATCAATAAAAATGATGATGCGCACAGCAAAGATGGAGCCTCCAGTTTTCATTTCCTTAACTAAATCTGTCTGATACTTCTGTGTGTCTTGTAGTGATAAATATTTTATTAGGCTGCCAATGGTGTATACAGCAGAGATGGATTACACAACAGGGAACAGCACAGCTGAAAATTATTTTCAAATCATTGTCTAAAGATTTTTTTATTTATCTCATTTACATATCACTATGTAGCCCTGTCTGTCCCGGAACTCACCCTGTAGACCAGTCTGCTACAGACTCACAGAGCTCCCCCTGCCTCTGCCTTCTGAGTGCGGGGATTAAAGGTGTGCTCCACCGTGTGTGGTTGTGTGTGCGTGTTCACGTATCGTGTGTGGGCATTTGTGCCATTGTGAGGGTGCGGAGGTCAGAGGACAACCTGCAGGGATCAGTTACCTCCATCCACCGGGTGGCTCCTGGGGATCAAGTCAGCGTGTTTACATGGCAAGCATGTTGTTGGCTGAGACAGCCACACCGCCCTCTTAGCTTTCCTTCAAGTACTGACCCCAGGTGACTAGGGGAAAAATTATGCTGTAACTAGCATGGCGGTGTTCACTATGGCTGCTCGTAGCATTAAGTTGCCTTTTTGCCTTCACATTGAAATATGGGCCTTCTTTGCTTAAATGATTTCTTTCAATTAAAAGAGAGAGAGAGTTTCAGAGGTGTTTTTTCTTTTTCTATAGAAAATGTCTCTATAAAAGCTCAGGACAGAACTCCTTGCTTATCTCAGCTGCTGTTCACATATCTACAGTGGCTCCTGCCTCCTCACACACCCACACCTGGCTCCTTACCTTTCTTCCCTGTGCAGAGCATTGATAGAGTCGCGAGTCCTCCGTAGTTCTTTCTTGATGCTGATTCCGGTCTAGAGAAGCAAGAAATTGGGAAAAATGGTCTTTTAGTTTGAACTTAAACACATTTTAAAAAATTGTCATAAGAGCATGATAATGATGTACTTTTTCAAAATAAAATGCAGTATTTTACAGACTGGTTGATGTTTAGATTTATGTCTAAGAACAATGATGTAGATACTTATTTATAAAAAGTATAGTCATGCAGCCAAATTTACAGAGTTAATTATATATTGTTAGTATATTATATGATATAATATAGTCATATATATATAACACTAAATTGCAGAAGATCAGTTACAACAGCTTTCCACCCACATTAGCTACTTCTCTGAACAGCTACTTCCCCCAAGTCATCCACAGAACACAGGTGGGTCACTTTTTATCTTTGATCTAAGCTTCTCACTTCTTCTTTCAGCCTTCTACTTTAACTTTCCTCATTGTCTCCTTCTTGGGTGTACACTGACGGTTATCACTTCTCTGAATTCACCAAGTCTTTTGAAAGAGCGATGCTGGCTGCTCTCTTCTTTAGGATTTCCCCTCTGAAATTTCTCATGTCACACTCTGCTTCCTGAACTGCCACCTAAGGGCTTCTGTTGACCTGACTCAGCCTGGCCCAAGCTCTGGGGTCCAGAAATCCATTCCATGGTTCCCACTCACCTAGGCAGGACATAAATTTCATCACCCTACATTTCTAGGCAACTGTGGCTTTACTCTGAAGCTTCCTCTCCTTTTGCAAATGACCCAGAGAGGGCCAGGGCCCAGAGGAAGACTGTTCAGATGAACTGGGGATGGGGGAGCAGAAGAAAAGGAACCACAAAAAGAGGGGCGTGAGCTAGACACATGCTTGCTGTCACCTTTCTTGTTGGTATGGACTCTTTGTTGCCTGAGTGACAGGGCCTGTTATTTTCATTAAATATTCAAGCATAGCCTTTACAGTAATGACCTTTATATTATTAATATAAAAAACTGTGAGCATTTTTACATCCATATTATCATATGAGACATTTTTCTGTAATTGAGAAACATTTTAGGCTTGCGTATATGGATGTACAATGACATTCAATAGGCTAGACACCATAGTTTATTGAGTCATTCTCCACTGAAGAACATAGAACTGTTTTTTAAATTTTAAAAACTTTTGTTATTAATTAATTTTTGTTATTCCGGGGGTGGGTGGGTGGCATGTGTGTGCCATGGTGGCTGTGTGGGTATCAGAGAATATAACTTTGTTAAGTTGGTTCTTTTTCTCTCTCTCTCTCTCTTCTTGACATGGGCCCCTTGGATGAAATACGAGTTGTCTAGCTTACATGGCACGTGTCTTAACCACTGAGCCATTTTACTTGCTCCTAATATTGTTGTTAGGTGTTTAAAATTAGGTTCAGTAAATAAAACTGTTTTCTTGTGCAGGGGTGCGAGGCTCTTGGGTTGTCGGTTTAATACAGTTACACTTATATATACATATATACACGACTCCTCCTCCTCACACGCAAATACAGAGGAAAAGGTCTGCAAAGATCTACCCCAAACAGGTTATCCCTGGGGAACTAGGGACAGACTAGTTCCTATGGCCAAAAAGAACTAAATTTTAAGTACAGAATTTTAAACTTCAGATTCACGTCTTGTTTGTACTACTAAAAACATTCTAAAAAGAATCAGGGATGTGCTACATGCATAAGATTGGATAGAGAAACTACAACTGATAATGAGGTGAGGAGGGAGGAAGCCATAAGCAGGCCTCTTTTAATTCCTATCAGGAAAAAAAAAAATCACTGTTAAAGTGTGAAATGAGCCCAAACAGAAGCAGGAGCAGGTTTTCTAGAAGCCCAACGGAAACAGGAAACAGGGCAGCTGTTTCCTAGTCCTCACATATATGCAACCAGCTTTCCCTGTGTCCACAGAAGAGCTACCTGGGTGTCACAGTGATGTGTAGGTGTCTCTGCTCCCTGGATGGCTCCGCAGACTAGCTGGCTACAGCTCTTTGGCACTGGAGGCCACGATACTCTCTAGGCACAGTTCTACTTAAGGCTAGCCATCACATGGAAACTAGGTTTTCCCCTTGATTATTAAAAAGTGTTATAAATGATCACCCTCTGATGGCCTCCCTGAAGCCTGCATCAACAATAATCATTTTAATATTCTTCTAAAAGGACAATTATTTTATTATGGCATAAAAATAATAACAATGGAAGAATGAGCAGGTGGTAGTATATGGGACAGAGTTGTATTTATGTGAAATAAATAAGTCCTAGACATCTACCAGTCAGAGTGTAGCTTTACTGTTAAACATTCTTACCTCCCATACTAGTAATAACAATAACAAAAATAGGGCAGAGAGGAAACTTTAGGAGATGATGGACATTCCATGGCCAGGATAGTGATGGTTTCGTGGACATAGCCTGTCCACACACTCAACAGTTGTATCAATTAGATATGCACCACTTTTAATATTCCAATCATACTTCAATAAAGTGGTTGAAAAGTAAAAGGGGGAATCTTGCTATATATCACACAGACAAGTATCGTAAAGCCAGAATATCAAATGATGTTCCCACATAAACACTAAACAAGAAGCAGTTGAGCTGAGTGGGAAATAGTAAAACACATCCTAAAATCGTAAGACTTCTAGTGTCTATTAACAGAGCCATGATAGAGAGAGTAACAAGGAAGGGGCTTATTTAAACAACAACAACAAAAGACTAGGAAATTATTGTCACTTACTGTACATAAAAATGAAATAATACAGACTTAAAATTTCAATTTCAAGGTAAAGCATGTGAAAAATAAAATACAGTTAAGAAATCATTTGTATTCACACCAGAGAGCTTTTTCTAAGCCTAAAACTATAAGAAACTACAAAGAAAAAAAAAAGGATAGTATATTTATGGAAACTGGAAACACTGATAAAGCAAGTCATTCCATTCAAAAGACTATTGGGATCAAGGCTTCCTTTCACCAAGCTCAAAGATGCCAAGTTTAAATATATTGGCATAGCAAAGTGACACAGCAGAATGGGAGGGGCAGAGGAGGGAGGGAAGGGATATAAAGCCCTCGGTAGCATCTTTGGGGGAGGAGGAATTTTGTTTCACTCAATTTGAGAAAAGGAAAGACAAGTGAAATTATACTTTACTTTCTTGGAAACTGGCAGAATTAAGATGTGGCAAGAGTTAATTTTAGCTTTAGACAGGTTCAGTCCGCTAGGGGTTGCAGTCGCTGGGTGTATAATCTGGTACGCCTTTCTGAGAGGCAATTTTGTAATAAGCATGGCGAAATTTAAACATATTTCTGTGAGCCCTTTTGGTGATCCTACTTTAGGAAAACAGTGGGGTAGCTGCACGCAACGAATAATGAAAAGAAATTTTAATAGTAAATTTTAAATTACAGTAAAAATTGGAAACAACCTAAATGTCAAAAAAAAAGTTAAATGAATACCATTCTGTCTATTTAAATAACTATGCAGATGTTTTTGAAGAATTCTGACAATGGAACACGTTTACAATATAATTTTCGTTGACAATTTGACAGTATAATCAGTGCATCTCAAAGTGCGGCCTAAACTAAAATGCTCAAAAGCAGCGAAGCTTATTGAAATGTTAATGATGCATACACACAGATTATTGTCAGTTTTTAACTTATTTTCCCGAAAAATCTGTGCAATGATTGTGCAGCCCTAGGTGGACACAGTAGCTCACACCTGTAATTCCAACAATCTGGGCGCAGAAGCTGGAGGACTGATCCGAGTTCTAGTCCAGTCTGGGCTGCAAAGAGAGACCGTGCTTCAAAGACAAAGCCATGTAGCCCTTTTGTGATGGAAAATATGGCTCCACAATTTTCACTAATCACGTGAAAATAACGTGGTGAAAATCTTCCCTCATCTCGGGATAGTGTGCCAAGGCCTTGCGCGTGCGTACAGTAGATGCTGCGCTTCAGTGATGGCTCCTCCCCCTTTTGGACCCACCTGGTGATGCCGGTTGTCATTTGCTTGCAGAGCAGGTGATAGCCTTGGACATAGGAATCTGCTGTGTTCTGTGGCTGCTGCTTTGACCGTCCCTGTCGGCCTCACATACACGGGGGCTTTCGGGCCTTTATACTGAATGCAAAGCCTGTTAGAAAGTGAGAGTTTTAAAAGATGCTGAGGCAATTTTTAACGGTTAAGTATGACACTAAGAAAAGCTTTAAAAGTTTTATTTTGTGTGTTTGTGTTTGTATGTATGTGTGCATGTGCCATTTATGTGTGCCCATAGAGCCCAGAAGAGGGCGTTAGGTGTCCTGAGGCTCAAATCACAGGCAGTTGAGAGCCATCCTGCAAGGGTACCGGGAACCAGACTTTGTCTTCTGGAAAAGCAGCAGGCACTCCTAACTACTGAGCCATCTCTCCGGCTGCACCTCCCAAGGGTCCGGTTGGTAGAGAGCTAGACAGCTAAAGAGGTGAGTGCGAAGTCAATGCTCGTGTCTCCATGCCAATAGAGATCTAAAAATATGTAGAAATTCCGTGATAAAGACTCCCAGGTCATCCTGTCCAGGTCAGAGACCCAGGATTCTAAGCCTGGGTGCGTTTTTGTTACGTCCTATCTGAAAGAGCACAGATGGCTCTAAGGTCAGGGACATAGGATTTTTACAGACTTCCAATTAGTTTTATTCCAAGTCATTTCTGAAGCATTTTACCATCTTGAGTTATTATAGTTGAGCAAAAGAAGAAAACGTCAAAAGAGCTCAGAGAGAGCTGGCATTTAATAAACAGATTCATCCCGTTGCTTTTGATAGACTGTGACAATGACTATAAGACACAATGAGAAACTATGGAAACAACTGATTATTCTGTCGCTAGCCATATCTGTCAAGGGAGTGGGTGTATTAAGGTAGAGAGAGAAACGTGTCCCCCCCCCCCCCCGCCCCTTGGTTTTTGAGACAGGGTTTCTCTGCGCAGCCTTGGCTGCCCTGGACTCTCTTTGTAGACCAGGCTGGCCTCGAACTCACAGAGATCCACTCTCATTACAGGTGTGCGCCATGGTGCCTGGCTGCAACACAGTTTTTTGAGTGATGCACTCTATCCTTGTTTCTTCAGATACTTTTAACACTTTGGGATTATTCTGTTGTCCAGCTCTGACGGCTATAACAGAATACCCTGCACCGCACGCATTAAGTAATGGACACTCATTTTCTTCCATGTCTAGAGGTTAAAAGTCTGAGGTCAGGTGCAGGTACCAGTCATTCCCTCACCATCTTGAAGCCTTTGTTCACAGAGCTTTCCAGGAGCCCTGAAAGTCCTTCAGCACTATACTAGAGCGCTGTTTGCAGCTGTGACACCACTTAGAAAAGGCACAGCAAGTGTGAAAAACCTGGTCCAGAATACACAATACACGGGGTGAAAGACATTTGTTTACAGAGTGAAAGCAGAGATAAGCAGGCAGACCCCCCCCCCACCTCCGGTCCAGCCCGAGTTTGGAAATGCACGTGTGCGCAACCTTTGCAGTTCGCCGTTCTGTAAATATCTGTGAGTGCTGCAGCTGCACCTTGAATATGGAGTTTGATTTACACGTAAGATTTTGCAAGTAGGTGAATGTTTAAGCACCGAATCTGTGTATGATTAGAAATGGTGTAATAGTTTTGCCGAAGAGACATTCCTATGTGAGTGTCATCCCATTTGGCTATCCAGAATGCTTTTTTGTTTGGTTTGTGTGTTTGTTTGTGTGTTTTGTTTAGGTCCTGTTTCCTGTACTTCATGGCATGGCATAATTTTTATTACGTGAGTCTTATTTGTTGTTGTTGTTGTTAAATTTGCCCATGGTTTCTCAGTAAAACTAGATACACTGTAAATGAGAATTTTATAAAATTTCTAGCTGGTTATTGCTGGTAGAGTGAAGAGCTGCCAGTTTTATGCAGATTTATTTTATGTTTCTCCATCACACAAAGCCTTAGTTTTAGTGTCTTCTGTTAAGTTCCTCTGGGTTTCTTATGAAGCTATACCAGCTGCAGATGCAAGTAATTTCATCACCTCTTCTTCAACATTTTAATTTTGTGTTTTTTTTTTATTATACTTGCGACATCTTCCCCAAATATTTAATAATGGTAATGTCTGACATCCCACTTTCAATTATGTTCTTATAAATAAAAGTTATTCTTGTTGATGTGAACAGTCATGTGTAAAGCAAATTTGTAGCAAAAGGAGGGAGGCTTCTTACCATGCAGATTGCTTGCTGAATTATTAAATAAATCCAGTACCGTCACTCGGCAATAACCATTACCTTAGAAGATGAGCATTCCTAATTTGCGGACTTAATAGAGAGCAAGGAGGACTCTTTGCCGATGATCACATTTGTGAAATTATAAAATGTATTTCCCAGATTGGTCACCAGTCAGAGTTTCTAAACTCATGAATGCTCAGGCCAACTTGGAAATTACATAATGCTATCTAGGGGATTTACCATATTTATTATACCCAGAGTAGATCAGATAGAATACAAGGAATCTAAATGAGCTTTATTGCTCATTTAGCCCTTGCAATCTCCTCTGCTCATCTCATCCCCACAAATATTACCCTGAGAGTATGAAGGACCAGCTATTCCTGTGATGAGAAGAAAGGGAGTCACAGCACAGTAAAGTCCACGCATGCTGCTGGGTGAAAACAGGGCTTCTCTGTCTGTTCCAGGGCGGATGAAACCTCACCACCCTTTTTTTCCCTCTCCCTTCCTTGTAAACATGCTCACAATTGCTGATGAACAATGAGGAGGATGAGAGTAGGCTGTTAACCGGATGATGTGTGGAGCCGGAAAGAAGCTCAGCGGGGAAAGTGCTTGCCTTGCTAACTCGAGGATCCCGGTCTGAGTTTCAAAACCCTCATTTAAATAGCCCGAGGTGGTGCGTGCTGTCGTTCCAGCACTGGGAAAGAGACAGAGCTTCGGCTCTCTGGATGGCCAGCATCTGGATGGCAAGTTTCATGTCAGTGAGAGACTCCGTCTCAAACAAGCAGAGGGGGGACTGGAGAAATGGCCAAATGGCTGAGAGCACTGGGTTCTTCTGGAGGACCGGGGTTCGATTCTCAGCACCAGTGGCGGCTAGGAATCATCTGCCAACCCCAGCTCCAGGAGATCCTACTTTCTCCTCCAGACAGCATGGGCAGCAGGCATGAATGTGCCACACCGACATATATGCAGACAAAACATCCACACATACACAAGTAAATAAATACTTTTTTTGTAGCTCACGTGAGAAGTGGTGGCATACACCCGCAATTTCAGCACTTGACAGGTAGAAGAGAGTGGGTGGCTAGTCAAGAGGCTAGTCTGCACTACACAGTGAGTTCAAGGCCAGCCTGGGGTACATGTCAAGATAGGATCTGAAAAAGCCAATCAAGACAACAGAACAAAACAGAAGAAAATGAAATCATTATTGGGACGATAATGACAGGGGGCACCTCTACCATTTAGTTCAGGTGAGTGGAAGAATGAGAATTTTCATCTGTAGCACGAGCCTGGTTTCACCTGCACTCAAGTGTGGACAGCGGTCACTGAACAGCTGCTCAAACAGAATCCTCTACGCCCCTGTTGCCTTTAGTCGCAAGTGCAACTACTAGAGTGGCCACTACGTGGCGCTGTTGCCTCTTAGTTCTCCGTAAAACTGAAGGCCGTGAAAAGTCGTTTAATCTATACTCTCTTCCCATCCTCACCCTCCATAGGGACTTTAGCTTTAAACTTGCTGCTGGGCCCCATAAACGTCCCAAGCCCTGCGAATTGACAGCTATTGAGTTCTCAGCCCTAAATGCGGCCTCTGTACCCCCTTCCCCAAGGCTCAGGGAAGAGCACAGGAGAGGAAGCAGAGAGGATGTTAAAGGCAAGAGAAAGGGATAGAGCATGAGGAACGCTGTCTTCCAGGGTGGACGGCCTGAACTCTTGAAGTCTCACTCTTGCCTGCGCAGGAGACCTGCTCAAGATTTGTCCCACCCGTATTTCATCAGGGGAGGAAGGGGGCTCTTGAGACCCATGCCTCCAAGTTAACGGTTGCTGGGGGTAGGGGCGCGAGAAAGAAAGAGAAAAAAGAAAGGAAGACGTGAAAGGAGGAAGCTATGAAAGTAGAAAGGGGATCTGGAAGAGGAAGCGGCTAGTAAGAGCAGAAGGGGATAAGATAAGGTAATAGGAGTGAAATGATTAAAAATATATATACATGTACGAAAATGCTATAATAAATCCAAAATTATGTATAATTAACATAGGATAATAAAAGTAAACTTAAAAGAGAGAAAACCTGCAGCTATAATCTATGGTAGCTGCAGAACCAGCACACACCTGGTCTGCGAATGGCTAGCTGCATCCCTGGGAGCCAGCTGGTCCAGCCTTCCCATGGCTCCTAGCCTGTCCAGTCTCTGGGGCAGGCTTTTCCAGAGGCTCCTGAGGAGGAGTTTTGTATTCTCTGTTGCTGACATCTGTGGAAACCAAAAGGCAGACAAGATGGCTCAGTGGGTAGCCTGGCCACCCAAGTCTGATTGGCGGAAAGAGAGAACCGGTGCCCACAAATGGTCCCCTGACTTCCACAGGTTGGGTGTTTGCTCACATGTGCACCTGCACACAAATGAATAAACGTCATCAAATCAAGTCGATAAGCGATTTGAAGGGCATCAGCTCGGTTTAAGCCTGGCCTCCTTTCCTTGTGGCTGGTGGGGGGCTGGGGCATGATGAGAGTGTTGCTTCTGGTGTTGACACTTTGGAAAGATAATATGTGCCTCGCTTGCGCCTAGAATTTTTTTTCACACCCTTTACGTGTATGTATACCTGCCCATAGCACGAGTCTCCAGGACGAATGCCCCAACCGCTTCAATAAATAACTGCTTCTTAAAGACAGTGGGGGTTCTAAAGCTGTAAGAAGAGACCACATCGGACTGAGTTTCTAACATTCTGGTCACTAACATTTGAGGATGTGGGTTCCTTCAAGAATAAGGTGGTGACTTGTGGATTTATCCCCAGGAACATCCTCCCGGCTCACGACTGGATACAATTTCAGTTGGTAGGTGGACTACCCAAAACCATCCTGCCCACCTCAAAGATAACCAATCGGAAGGTCTCTGGCTCTTGAAAATGAAAGTGTGTTAACAAGATGACCACACGGTGTCACTATAACACCATCCAGTCACAGGCTTCCAGGCCCAGAAAGCTAATCAGAGGCAGTGAACCACAACTAGCTGGAGCTGTTTAGAAAGGCTATGTTCACAGGGAAAGCGTCTGGTAAAATTCAGGTGCCTGCTTTTCCTGGATGGACCTTGGAGTTGAAGAGAGAACCAGAAAACTACCTTTGGTGAAGGCAATTCAACCCCAGCCTTCACCACAGTGGTGAGAGGGACTCCATTGCACAAATTCACCCGAAATCAGTGGTGAAAAAGACAATGTTTCCCCACTCCCCCCAAGTCACCCCAACTCCCACCCACGCCTAAGAATAGCAGACTGCTTTTGCATTCTGTTTTTTCTTTCTTCTTGCAATTAAGTGAACCTGTTTGTTACTAATGATTTCCTTTAAAAGCATCAAAAGTTATCAAGTTTTACTTTCTCAGCGAAAAACCTAGATTACTTGCTTCTTTTTATCCCAAAGCAGGGAAAATACTTGAAGTTTCGGGTGCAGGTAAAATCATATTAAGACCTTTCCAAAGGCATGCCACAACCGGAACTTTTGTTTTGCCATCTCCACCAACCCAACCCCCTTTTCTTTTTCATCCATGCCAGTTTGCAATCCCTGTCCCTTCTAACTTTGACAGATGTTTCCTAATAGATACTATGAGATAGGTGATCAAACAGTAGCCCGTTATGCCTTTTCTTATTCCCCAAAGCATTTATAAAAATCTGCAGTGTAAACAAAGCACATTTATTTTTACTCTCATGGCATGTGTCAATCATTAAAAACAACAACAACAAAACAGTGAAAGTCATTATGACATTTTCCTAAAATGAGAGCCCAGTTATGACTGAGAAATGTTGAAGGTTGAGCCTGCCTTTTCCAGTGTCTTAACTGTTAACTGGCAAAGGAAAGGGGCTTTTGATGGAATGTCTTGTAAGGATGGGGTAGTGAAGGTTTTACCACATGGCCTAGGATGTTACCTGGACACAGTCCTCCAACACAGTGTGTGTCCTCTCGTGGGATTTTCTGTGGCGACCAGATAAGAAACACAGCTGGCAGATGTCAAAGTTGAGGCATTTCAGACAGCGGTATCTGCCAAATGAAATGGAAGTCCAGCTTATGTCACTACCGGTAGGAGAGGAAACAGATGGCATTCAAGCAGGGAATGAGCATTCCTGAACATGCGTGGGTGTGTGACCTTAAAGACTGCAACAATTAAGAGAAATTCTCAAGTCCATAGCCATATTTTGTGTGGCTTCATGATGCACTCAAATATTTTGAATGTACTTTCCAATTTTAATTTAAAAAAAAAAAGAAGTTTGGTATTTTCTATAAGCTTAAACTATGGATTCTCTTGGAAAATTACAAAGTATGATAACCTTGAACCTGAACACTGGGGAAAAAAAAGAAATCATAGATAAAGGATTTCAAAACAAGCCCACGCTTTTTTCCTAGAAGTCTGTGTGTAGACAGACGTTCTCGGTCTGAAATTTCCTTGTGGTTGGAAGAGAAAACGCTGAGTCATGTTATTAAGAAGAGAATCTCTCCTAACATGTATCATGGTGCCGAAGGGCTAGCAAAAGTTTGCACCCTCTGGTTAATAAAACCACTGTCATTCCTAGCTGCCGTTAAACTGGGGAGGTAAGCTGGCCGTTGGGGAGGATGCTTGGTACATGGTAGGCCATTAGTGAGTGAGAGCTGAATAAGGCTAAAGGAATGGCTCGGTTTCTGCAGGAGGACATTTGGACAAATCAAAACCGCCTTCTTGGCCTTTCGAAAGATTTGCATAGCGTCGAAAATTAGTCAACACACCTAAGTGGGAAGGCATTCACCTCTTCAATACGGTGGACAAGGTGAAAGAAAGACAAGAGTCTTTAGTGAGTATTGTTGGATGAACCATCCAGCCTCAGTGGAATTGTCTGGATGCTACCTATAAACGCATTCCTCTGTGTTCTGAAATCATCTTTAGATTCACAAGAAAAAACCCTGGATGGATAATACAACTGGTTTGCTGATAATTTTACCAAAGCTTTTTCTCCCATCTTATTTCAATGTTATATATATATTTTTTTATTTTTCATAGAACATAAATGATAAGCCAGCTGTCTAGAACTTAATTCTTGTAGTAGGGACAGTGTCTGGTCTTCATGCCTTTTTCTCCCTTCTTTCCTCTCGTCCTCTCTCTGTCTCTCTATTTCTCTCTGTCTGTCTGTCTCTCTGAACACATGTGCAGTTGTGGAGGTTAGAGGCTGACGCTGGATGTCTTCCTCATTAGCTCATCCATGTTCTTTTCTGAGATAAGGGCTTTTGCTGACTCTGGAGCTGACCCAGTTATCTAGATGAATTGTCCACCAATCCCCAGGGATCCTCCTGTCTCTGTTTACAGTTCTGTTTTATCCATGATTCTGAGGAACAGCACTGTGTCCTCAGGCTTGCAGTCCAAGCACTTCACAGACTGAGCCATTTCCCAGTCCCCTTTTCTTCCTATTGGGGGAACGGGGGACAAGCCTTTCACTCTTCCTGCACCTTCTGAGCACTGTGGCTGCTTCTTCATCAGTCTCCTTGGAACTAAAGCAGTGGCTTGAGCTTTGAGAGCCAAAACCACAAGTTTTGAGCTAAAGCTGTAATATATTCAAACAAGTGTTAAAAGACTTCACTAAAAGAAGCCTCCGTCATCCCTGGAGCCATCACTTTGCCTTGGATGTCTGGGAGGAAAGATAGTTCACCCAATAATCTTTACAAGAAGCTTAACATCATTTTTTTTAACAGACAAAGGCATATTATATAGAATCCTGATATGTTTCATGTTACCTGGTGCTATTTGGCCTGAGAAAATCACTTAAGTCTGTGATACTCAGCGTTATAAAATAATGATTTTAAGAAAAACAGTTTATTTCAATATAAAAGTTGGGCTTTATGGAATTTCAAAATTAGTTCTGTATCTGTCTTAGACATGAAGTAGTTATATGAAGAATGCCTTTCTGTGGTTTTATTGGTTAAATTATTGTAATATAGATTGTGATAAATTATATTCATATTTCTACACTATCCATCCTAAGAAAATATTATTTTCACTATGATATAAAGATTTCTTTGGTACTGCATGCTTGTTTTCTCAATGATTTGGTTTATTGTTTCAAATTGTTATAAGCAAAGAGGTGTCTATGAGTCAAATTTTGCTGCCTCCTCCAAATTCCCTGTCAACTCAATCCAGCTTCTTAGCAAAATCAAAACTTTATTTCCAGATTTTTAGTGGGCGCAGTAGACCGTTTTATGTCCATGAGAAATGTGTTTAAAGTCTAAACTAGTGAGGATCAGGAAGGACAAGAAGAGAAGGGGGACAAAGTGATCTACCTGCCTCAGCCTCCCTAGTGCTTGGACTAAAGGTATGTGCCACCATGCCCAGCTATAACATTTATTTTATTTTATTTTTTATTTGTTTATTTATTTAAGACAGTATCTCTCTATGTAGCCCTGTTTTTCTTGAAACTTGCTATGTGGAACATGCTAGCATTCAGAGTTTTCCTCTGCCTCCCAAGGGCTGAGATGAATGGCTTGTGCCACCATGCCCTTAGGATGGGGTTTTAGCTGAAATTGTTAAAGTCTTGGAGGGGTCAGAAGCTCATCCATAAACCTACTTTCACGCCCGTTTCTCGGGAGAGCTGTCCTAAACTGATGAATTGATGGTTCCTTTGAATCTCAAAGCTTGTTCTCATGGTGGCAAGGCAAGGACTCTGGATTTAGACCCCTACTACCTGATAACAAAATAATGTAATGTTTGTGGAAGCTGGGGGTGATAGTGTTTGCTTTTTGTAAAACTCTTACCACATTTTAAGTGACATGAACCCTGTGAAGCGCTTAGCCTAGTGTTTCCTTAGCACCTAACAAACCATTCTTGCAGGTGGCTTTAAAGCTTTTAAAAGGTTTATTTGGAACAATAGACAACCAAGGTATAAACCTTGCTTCTCAGCCTTCCCAATGCTGTGACCCTTCAATACAGGTCCTCGTGTTGTGCTGACCCTCAATTATAAAATTATTTTTGTTTCTACTTCATAACTTCATAATGTCATTTTACCATTGCTATGAATGACAATGTAAATATCCTATATACGGGATATCTGATATGCAACTCCTGTGAAAACGTTGTTCAGCTCCCCAAAGGGTCACGGCCCAAAGGTTGAGAACCACTGCTTTAGAGAAACAAAAAATCCTTGGCATCTTCAGGCTCAGGGAAAGAGCTTAGTCTTTCACCAACTGTAGGAGACAAATTTATTTCAACCAGGGTGCCTCAGGCTGGAAATTATTGAGCTAAAGGTAAATAAGTTCCAGATGTATAGAAAGGATCCCAGAGAGAGTCTGTGATACACAGCCCCACCGTCGGGACCCATTTGTCAAATGACCCTTTGGGAAGCGGGATGTTGACGGTACCTGAGTCCTGTGATTGGGAAGGTCCCGCAGACACTGCACCGCACAGGGTGAGTGACTGTCTCTGAGGCTGACAGTTGGTAGCAGGTTGGGATCCACAGGAGGACCAGAGGCTCGGACTGTGCCCAAGACAGGAATTTCTCCTCCTTGATTCCAGAGCTCAACACCTGGGAAACGAGAGCAGGCTGAAACACACTTTCAGGTGGGATCTGCCCTCTTTCTTCCCCTCTGGCTTCGTGTCTGCTCTGCTAAAGAGATCTGAAAGCTGAGACAAGGCTACCTCCAAACTCAGCTCGCCCTGGGATCTGCACGATGTCTAATTTAAGCAAGCTCTTCAGACACCTTCAGCGGTGCCCGAGGATAGTCATGGTACTCACCCCGCGGAAACAGCTGCGAATAGCACTTTCCACGGGACCCAAAGTGCAGCTCTCTCCTACGACAGTCGGGATCTGTAAGGCAACCTCATGTTAGCTGAAGATGTGCCCTAGAAATGGTGCTCATGGCGACGGAGGTCATGCAAGCAACCCATATCATACATTTGAGGATGAAAGAACCATCTCAGGCAAAAGGAAAAAGTGAGTGTCAGGTTTTTGTGTAACGCTTGAGTCAGAACAATGAATAAGGAAAAGCTGGAGAAAAACCACGGAAGGAAGGCAGTGAGGCAGTGAAGGGAAGATGTCTATTGCCTGACTTCTTAGGATCCCAGGCAGTTTTTAATTTTTTTTATTTTCCCCCTGATGGAGGTCTCAGTGACACTGCATTCAAATTTACAGTTTTCCTTTTAAATCCTGTCAAGCATTTTCACATCATCTTATCTGAATACATGTCAATTCCATTACTTGTCTTGCTCCTATGTCAAAATATCTGACATTCAAAGAGGAATGTTTGAGGTTGCATTGTTTCAGTGCATGGCTTTTGGGCTGTAGCAAGGCAGAGCATCAAGACGGAAGGCCATGGTGACCAAAGAGCAGGACGAGAGGCCCAGGGAAATTATATCTCTGTTGACTTCTTTCTTTCATAAGTCCTCCAATGAGAAAGTTCCTAATAGTCCATTCAGAGTCTGTCTTCCTCAATGGATTATGCCTTGGTTAGATCAGGGTCTTTAGGATCCACTCACTTCTCAATGACTGGATCCACCAGTTGGGTACCAAACTTTTAATCGAGATGTCTCTTAGGGAACACTTTCTGCCCAAACCATAATCCAGTCTTTGAAGTGAGGGTGGTAATCAACATTATTGAAAGGAAGGACAGACAGGAAATGAAGTCACTACGTCAAAAAAGAGACACCTACGTGTTTGCTGTGGCATTATTTGTGACAGCCAAGACATAAGAACAACCTAGCTGGGTTTTTTTGACATTAATGACTAGTATCCAGCCTTCAAAAACAGGAAATCCTGTCATTTGCTATAGCACGAATGGAGCTAAGTGAAATTAAAATTAGCCATACACGCAAATACTGCAAAATCTCCCTCAGAGAGAGTGTCCATGGGTATTTTGGGTGTGCAAGTGACTTGTGTGGGAACCGATACTCAGTGCACACCTGTGTTACCGCGATACACTGATGTGACACACCTCCTTCCCTTCCTGCTTTCCTTTCCTTACGTTTTCTTTCCTTTCTGTATATGAAATGGGATCTTGCAGGCTAGTTTCAACTTCCTGGGCTCAAATGACGCGACAACCCCACCTCCAGAGTAGCCGGGACCGCCTTCGTGGTTACACCACACTTAACATCTTTCACACATAATTTTTCTCGCTGTTTGTCTGTCTGTTTTTTTTTTTTGTTTGTTTGTTTGTTTTTTGTTTTTTTCCGAGATAGGGTTTCCCCGTGTAGCCTTGGCTGTCTTGGACTCAATTTATAGACCAGGCTGGCCTCAGACTCATAAAGATTCCCCTGCCTCTGCCTCCCTGATTCCTGGGATTAAAGGCGTGCACCACATATAATTGTTGTTAATTAAATGTTTGGTAAAGCTAAATAGATCAAGAAATCACCGCGAGACCACATTTTGCTCGAGATTAAAAAAAAAAGAAAGTAAGTTCTTTGCATGATTGGGGTCTCAGTCTGGAAGTCCTCCCTCTTCATTACGGGGTCAGAGAGTTTGTTAGATTCTATTTATTTCTTTAGATTTTGTAGATTTTCCAGGGGCTCAGTTGTCTCTGCTTTACACCAGTCCACCACAGTCACTATAGGGAGATTAACTAAGGGACTGCGGACCTCTTGGTATTTCCATGGTGGTAATGGATTTGGTTCTGGTTTCTGTCTGTGCAGATGTGTGTACCCGCCGTCTTCATCTACTCCCACTTGGATGGGAGTCACAGTTTCACATCTGATGTCTTGCCCAGCACAGGCTGTCAGCCACACTGTCTGCAAGCTCAGAAGTAATTGCAAAGACCCCCCACGGAGTCCATCAACTCAAACAAACATCCCCCTAATCAGGGAAGTGGCACTTAGAACCTCTTTGCTGACAATTAGCCAGACAAAAGTCAACAAACATTTTCGTACTAGTAATAAGATGGCTTGCTTGCACTTTAAATTGATAATAACCCTGTCACCAGCAGAGATAAGCGGCTACGTTACTTAGTCAACGCAACAACTCATTTCCCATCTTTTGCCTTCTGAGTACTGGTGAATGTGCTGCGCCACTTAGGAAGAGCTTTTCAACATTCTCCCTACTCTGGTGTCCTTACTCCTGAGGTCTCCGTTCATAGGTAAAATATGAGTGGTGGAAGAGGTGAGATTACTGGCTCTGTGCTTCTGCTACTGCAGTGGGATTCCTACTGTACTGGATTGAACCTGACAATTCCCCTTGAAATATCTATAAAACTTTGTGTGTGTGTGTGTGTGTGTGTGTGTGGTGTGTGTGTTAATTGCCTCTTTGACTAATTTCTTGCAGGTGTTCAATCGAGAAGAATTAAATGTGACTAGGTGGCACCCTGGCAGGGGCAGAATGGCACTCGATAATTAGCATTCCTAAGAGACGATTTGAATCACATGGCGAGGACTGGATTTTCTGTCAGAATCTGTCCTGGATTCCATAATGGAAGTCAATGGGGATGATAATTTGCTATGCAAGTCGCAAATGTTCTTCCCAATAGTCTCCCCAGAAGCCTGCTAATGCACGGTAGGGGGAAGGAGAGTCTGTGGGAGTCAGCACCTCAGCAGCTCACCAACCTTGATTGAATTTGAAACCAGTGGATTTTTAAAATCCCTTGAGACTGGAGCTAACTTGAAGCCATCGGTAGTAGTCACGAGGAAGTGAACACGAGGAATTGTAGGGGAGAGGGAAAATGCCCAGTTCCTTTTCCCAGTTCCTTTTGTCGCCTCCACTTTGAAATTGGCTATTGTAGTCAGTCTGGTGGAATAAATGGACGAGCAGTGCATGCCTCCTCTGGATTTCTACCTGTTTGAGTTCTGAGACCTGAGGTTGTAGGGAAGGAACGTCAACGGTGGTTGTGTGAGACGTGCCTTGGACAGCAGGAAATCTGCAGTAGGACCCATGAGCTGTTGTAACCACCAGAAGAACATTACAGTATTAATACCTGCACCTGGCTGTTTTTTTTTTTCTTTTTCTTTTTCTTTTTTTAGTCAGGTTGTATGGCATAGAGTGAAACAGCAGCTAGAAGCTGATGACTGGATGGAACCACATTAAACTAGGACACCATAAAAACTGGTCCCTGCTCTCCCTTGGCTTCTCTTTTGCTGTGATAAGCACCATGTTGAAGAGCATCTTGTGGGGGGCAGGTTTATTTGGCTTACAGGTGCCTGATCACAGTCCTTTGCTGAGGGAAGTCAAGTCAGGAACTTAATCAGAAGCAGAGGAGGGAGCTGAAGAGGACCAAACCACTGCTTCCTGGATTGTTTCCCATGGCTGGATCATCCTGCTGTCTTGTATAATCCAGGACCACTTGCCCAGGTGTGGCAGCATCTACAGTGAGCTGGGCCCTCTCATTTCAACCATTAATTAAGGAAGTGTCCTTCTGCTTCTGGTATACCTCACTCAGGATGATCTTTTCCAGTTCCCACCATTTACCTGCAATTTTCATGATTTCCTTGTGTTTTTTTTTTGTTTGTTTGTTTGTTTGTTTTTAATCGTTGAGTAATATTCCATTGTGTATATGTACCACAATTTCTGTATCCATTCCTCAACTGAGGGGCATCTGGGCTGTTTCCAGCTCCTGGCTATTACAAATAAAGCTGCTATAAACATGGTTGAGCAGATGTCCTTGTTGTATACTTGAGCATCTTTTGGATATATACCTAGGAGTGGTATGGCTGGATCTTGAGGAAGCACTATTCCTAATTGTCTGAGAAAGCACCAGATTGACTTCCAAAGTGGTTGACACAGGGTATATACTTACAAGTGGATATTAGACATATAACATAGGATAAACATACTAAAATCTGTACACCTAAGGAAGCAAATCAAGAAGAAAAACTCTGGCTAAGATGATCAATCCCCATTCAGAAAGGCAAAGAGGAGGAGGGAAAAAACAGCGAACAGGACAGGAGCCTACCACAGAGGGCCTCTGAAAGGCTCTACCCAGCAGGGTATCAAGGAAGATGCTGAGACGCATAGCCAAACTCAGGGCAGAGTGCAGGGAATCTTATGAAAGAAGTGGGAAATAGTAAGACCTAGAGAGGACAGGAAGTCCACAAGGAGAGCAACAGAGCCAAAAAGTCTGGGCACAGGGGTCTTTTCTGAGACTGATACTCTAGCCAAGGACCACTCATGGAGATGGCCTGGAACTCCTGCACTGAGGTAGTCCATGGCGGTTCAGTGTCCAAGTGGGTTCCATTGTAATGGGGACAGGGACTGTCTCTGACATGAACTGATTGGCCTGTTCTTTGATCACCTCCTCCTGAGGAGGGAGCTGCCTTACCAGGCCACAGAGGAAGACAAAGCAGCTAGTCCTGACAAGACCTGATAGACTAGAATCAGAGGGAAGGGGAGGAGGATCTCCCCTATCAATGGACTGGGGGAGGGGCATGGGAGGAGATGAGGGAGGGAGGGTAGGATTGGGAGGGAACGAGGGAAGGAGCTACAGGGGGGATACAAAGTGAATAAACTGTAATTAATAAAAATAATTTTAAAAAAGAGAAAAAAGTGTCCTACAGACACACCACATGAGGGAGACATTTCCTCAGTTAAGTTTCTCTTCTCTGCAATGATTCTAGTTGTATCAAGTTGACAAAAAGCTAACCAGCTCACCCTTCCTTTCTAATCCTTTTGGCCAAAAAGAATCCTTTAGAGGTTCTAATTGACTAGCTACAAGAGAGTCAAGTCCACTGTGCAGCTCTCAGCAGAGAAGAGGGAAGAAGGCACACCTCTGGATGAAGACCCTGCTCAGAGCATGGTTTTCCCCGCCTGTCTTCTCTCTAGGCATTCCCTCTTTTCTTCTGTAAAACCACACTAAACCCATGAGGCAGAGAATCTCCTCTGCTCTCCTCAGA